CTTTCCCTCCCTTTGGTGCGTCGACGCGTCAATTAATTACTTTCGTTACATTCGTTCTTTTATTCGTCGACTGTTGCCGCTCGTTAAGTCACCGCACGTCTTCCTTTGTTACAGCGTCGCTGTGCGACATGGTTTACAACAGCGATTCGACGAAAACGGGTATAGTCATGTCGCCTGGATACCCAAACCCGTATCCGGCCAGGACGCATTGTACATACGACTTCCAAGGAAGAGGAAAGGAACGGGTGCAGGTGATATTCCAGGATCTGAATCTGTTTCATTCGCCGAACGACACGCCGAATGAGTAAGTCCGTTATATTTTCCAACTAAGCGCACTCACACACACAGGTACGGATAATTTTGGTGTAGCCAAAATTAGAGGGTGAAAATTTAAATTCGTCGTGAATCCGAAAAAACGAACAAAATTTTTTCCTCGTCAAACACACGGGGTCGCGCGATCGATTCGTACAGTGTGTCAGGATTTATGGAAATACGGTGACGTGTTTTTACGAGCATGCATTCACAATGTCGTTGCGTTTAGTAAAGGTGCACTCTCGCGATACATATCATCGTGTCTAGTACCCTTAGTCCACTCTTGCGACACAAAAGGCGTGGTACATTATGTATTTGTGCGCGTAACGGATGTCATCTGCCTCTATCTTTGAATTGCACGCCGCGTCGGAGATTACGATAAGTGCGATCTCAAAATTTCACGAGACGCTTTGTCGCATATTGTACTTCATATCTCACTTCTTATAATTCGATCGAAATAGCGGATGCTGAAAGTGTGCAGAAACCAGTCTCAATTTAGCGATTAATAAAATCGTCGCTTTGAGAAATTCTTTGTGACATATCGATGCATCTCTTTCGCATCAATATCTTTTTCTTCCAAGTCAACACCTATTCATCGAAATTCATACGCTTTTCACCGACGACAGAAGATTTATCCGAATTCAATTCGCACAAAAAAGATCGGATCTCCTCAAAATCTGATTTATCTCTTGGGGGCATCTTGACATAATTTCGCAGTGGGGAACGTTTCGAAGAAATTGAATAGAGGAATTGACGCCATAGTCGAAACGGCAAATCACACACATACAACATGGGGATTCCAGGGAAACTGCTTGTGATACAATGGTTTCCCTGACAATTGTATCGGCCGCGATCACTTATCCTCTCATTCATTTTCCAGGTGGCTGATCTTGAACACCATTTAATTAAGGTTTCGGCGTACCGTTGAACTAACATTTAAGTGGTACTTAACCACATTTCACAATCGTTTGTCGCGCATTCGGTGATAATCGAGAGCCCGTCTATCTCTTTAAGATGATAATTACGATCAAATAAACTCCGGGAACTATGATCGATGTAATATGACGTATAAAGCGATAGAGTTTCAAATAAAAAGTTTTTTACTCGTCTCTTTAACAATAGAAATTATCTAATTATGGCATTACTTAATCACATATACATGCACAAATTTTGCATCGCTATATAGCGGAAGATTATATTTTAAAAAATGCATTGTTAATTACTACACGCTAAATTATAACAAATGAATAGTTTCAAAAAAATATTGATGATATGAAAAAATATTTTATTAGTGTAATATATTTTTCAAGTATATTTGTTTTTTTTTTTTCTATCTGCATTGAATGGCTGCTGTATTCACTCGAATGTGAATCACAATTTCGTGCTTAACAGCTGTCTTTAATATATGTGTGTGTTTAACATTGCTAACATTTATTCTTTGTGTATTATTTCTAATATTTATCTAATATTCACATTTAACTTATATTATCTTCATGATGTGTAGATGATATCTAATTTTTTTGATTACATGTTACATAATAACTAATACTCGACATAATATAATCATTGCTCTAAAAAAAAAAAAAAAAAAAAAAAAAAAAATACAGTTCTATCCAAAGAAAGAATCCCTTTGACAACTTTTCACGTAGAAAAAACTAGATATACTCGAATAGCATTTCATTTTGCCTAACGATCTTTTTTTTCATATAATCTATATTTCTGAAAATATATTGGTACTTATTAAGAAGGTCCGAATATACTTGAAAATAATTGAAATATCAAAAAATTCTTTTCCTTTTTTTTTAATTTAATGATTTCCTGAACTTTTTGAGCTACATAAAATAATTTTTTGATATATCTACATGCCTAAAAAAATTTTTTGAGGAAACATTGAGAAAACACAAAATGTCGGCCAAATAAATGAGAAAGCTAAATTTTCAAAAATGGCAAAAAACGCGGGAGATTTCAACCCCATTTTTCTCGAAAATCTAACGTGATAGGCCATTTTGCTTTGCGGATTTGGATCAGCGCACAAAAAACTGTAGGAAAATATTCTTTTTTTCCAGACCGCAGAAGAAATATAAAATTATGCAGACCTGTGTAATTATTTGGATATGTTAACCTAGCGTTGAAAATAGCATGAGAAATAGCATGAGAAATGCGATATGATTCCATAACTGTGTATCCTTTCTCTTTAGATCAAGATACATTCTATTAAAATAACATAAGCATCATCTCGTCTCTTGCGTCTATTCATAATAGACAGATGCTTGATAATATATCTGTTCATAATGCAGGAAAGCCATCGAGCGCATTCAAATGCTGGAGGGATTTCCAGTGAATAGGAAGTTGGAGAGCTCCACGTCGACATCTGATTTTCCTCTGCCCAGTTTCCTTCCAATCGTCCGAGTGGATTGGTCCAAAATTTTCTTCCGAGCGCGGCCGCGCTCATTCATGCAGTCGCACAAATTTGCTCATGTACGAAATCGTGGCGGCCGCAATGATGGTTCGCGTACACATACCGTATGTAGGCCTCTTGCGCGCGGGCAAATAATATTCTTTATTACGCATGTGTTCCGCTGGCTTGAGCGCAAACTCAAGCTCTACGTCTTGCCGTTAATCGTAAATTGGCCGATTAAAAGCCATCCGTTGCGAATGCTATCGTGCCCGCCAGACACAATTGCTCGTAATTATAATCCAGTAAACCGCGCCACGGCACTTTGAGCTCGAATAGAAGGAAGATGTAATAGAAGGACGCTCAAACGCCGCTAAACGCACGGTAACGGAAACATTTATTTTTACGGGAATGAATTTTATACGTGATTATGTTCCTTTCAAGCTTATAGCGTAACATTTTGTCGCGAAAAAAGAAAAGATAAACACGTTTGCTTCTTTTTCACGTTTAACACAATACGTAAAATGGTTCTGTATAAGCTTAAGTATACGCTCGATTTAAACCACATAGAGAGTGTATTCTTTTTTTTCAAAGTTCTCTCTAATGTTTAAAAATGCATTTTCTGTGCGTTGCGTATACACTTTGCAACATTACATCGTATTACTTTAGCTAGTCAGATTTTTCTGTTACATTGAATTTAACTTGAGGCAAGCAACAAAGGCGGATATATCATTAACGATTCAAAATTTAATGCTTTTTGCATTTTCAATATTACATTTCGAAATGAAGTTAAATACATGTCATACATACATACATACTCGGAAAAAGTAAGAGCACTAGTTGCACGTATATTTGCATTGCAGTTTCACGAACGTGATATTCGCTGCTTCTCGAAAACCTTTCGGCGAGATAGCACTTTGCGGCATATTTGCCGATAAATGCAATGCACAGATTCCAGTATAATCGATTCGAGCATCCAATGGTCAAGTATTGACCTCAAACGCAAAGGAATTTGATCGATTTGCACTTTCATTCTTTTGTAGAATAATTGCCTAAATTACACCACATTTTTCAAAAAGGTCAAATATTTTAAGTACTATTCAAGATAACCTATTTTCACCATAAAAATGAATATTTTTTTTCCACTTTCTCAGTTTTTCCGAAAATTTTTGATAAATGCAATGCACAGATTCCAGTATAATCGATTCGAGCATCCAAATTATTGGTCAAGTATTGACCTCAAACGCAAAGGAATTTGATCGATTTGCACTTTCATTCTTTTGTAGAATAATTGCCTAAATTACACCACATTTTTCAAAAAGGTCAAATATTTTAAGTACTATTCAAGATAACCTATTTTCACCATAAAAATGAATATTTTTTTTCCACTTTCTCAGTTTTTCCGAAAATTTTTGTTAATCTCTAAGTATTAACAAAATTATAAATTATATTTAATCCCCTTAGTGTGTAACCACATGAACTAACCGATAAATTGATTTCTTTAAATTTATTGATATGATAATACAAACTAGGAGCCGATGTCATTTAAGCAATTTTCCCGTATCTTTTGCGTATCACATCGCTACATGTACAAGCCTATAATTACTATATATATAAGTGACAGAATTATGTAATATTAAATATATAAAAACCAGTATAAATCCTCGTGACAAACTTTAAAATATATCGCATTAATCGACAACAAATAAACGCGATTAAATTTCATTGAGTTAATTGCAGTTGGTCGTTATTTTACTAACCGGAGACAAACGGATTACAAGGGATAATTTCGCCGCGACAACGATGAGAGTGTCGCAAGAGTTTCCGAAGCGAGAAAGAGTCCAGACTACGCGACAGTGTCAACTCGGTGTCGAGTTATCGTTCAAAGTTCGCCGGCGGCGTCGCGTAAGCGCCGGAATATAAAATTGGACAACGTGTTGCCGTACACAACGTGTCCCGGCGGCGTACCGGGACAAATACATCTTGATTCCTGTTCCTTGTGTTCTAACAGGACGTGAAATCAGAAGCGAATGGAAATACGGGTCCCCCCGGGGATGGAGGTGGAGCGTCTTTTGTCGCGGAAATGAAAAGTTTTTCCTATCGAGTATGCGTTTTGTGTAACGCGTGACGGGGCTCTTGCATTCGAGAGAGACGGTATTCCTTAATATAACCGGAGCAGGTCTCGGTTGACGTGTGTATAACGATTCTTCTAAATGATAAACATCGAAATAAAATAGCAACTAAAATTGCCATTTTAATAAAGTGCGTACAATAATTGTGAAAAGCTGTACATTACGCAGATAATATTTCTTTTGAATAAAATATCAACGTACGCACATGCATGTTATATCTTCCTCATTCTTCCATGTCATTTCATAATATTATATTATAAAATGATTGCGTGAGAGAAATGAGAGAGATATTTTATCTGCAATTATTGAAATTATATGGAAATTGTTGGTTTTCCGCAATAATTATCACGCACGGAGGTATCAAATTTTGGTTGTTGCGCACACCCGCAAATGTATACGAGGTGCGCGTTCGAAATGAATTAAATAATCAATTTTGATTATACACGGATGAAATATATTACACGAAAAACGCAAAATAAATATATGTATATATCCTCAATAAATATATTTCTTCTCTATTTTACAGCTGCGAGGGAGTCGACTCACTAGTGGCATTCGTACATATAGACGGGAAGAAGGAAAAGATAGACGCGTTCTGCGGGGAGACATCGCCAAGGCCTATCATGAGTAATGGTCCGCGGCTCTCGTTGGAGTTTCAGGGGGTAACGTCGTCCCGCCATTCAAAAGGCTTTAAAGCGACGTACTCCTTCATGGAAAGTAAGTGCATGACGCGTATATATCGTCTTTAATAATATAAGCTCGGATTCGTGACATAGGTACGACGATGGAAGTATGGAAGGATAAAGCAAAGACAAGATGCTCTTGTGTATTTCCTCGTTGTAAAATTCAAATCGAATCCTATCGGAGGCGAGATACACAGAGAATTCTCCGTGCGAGCGCGAGCCGAGTTTAGATTTATACGTGGTATTGTCCTACCGTGAAAATCGATCAAGAATGTTCCGGTCCACAGATGGACGACGAGCATCATTGAGAATAACTTATCGACGTGGAACGTGTTCGCGGCGCGAGAATCGAGACCGTGACGTACGATCTTATATATTCGCGCGAGAACGAGGGAGAGGGAAGGGGAGGGAGGGTAGAATCCCGTATTCCGAGCTTTCTCTCCTATGGGCCACCTATGTCCCGTCAAAATTTCAATTTCCGCCGAGCATTCTATCGCGATAGCAATGCGTCTCTCCGCGTTCCGCCGTTTATCACCCGCAGGTGAACGCGGATTTTGTAGCGCGCACGAACGGGAACAGCCACCGGTAGCGGAACAAATGGATCGCGAAGTGTATTCGTGGAATCTTGGATCCCGTAAAACGCGGAAAGTCGCGAGACGAAGTGCATCGAATGCGAGGGAAAGTTTCGCGGCAGCCACAAGCAGACAATCTGTCTCGAATATCATGCTAGCAGGCGTGGTAGGGAGAGGTGGGGAGGGGAGAGACTTGGCCGTACCATCAGTTAAGGGATGAATATCGCTCGATTATGCCGGGGATATTTTATCGCCCTCCCGCCCGGTGGTTCTCTCATCCCGACCATCGGTCGAAAGTTCGCGCGCTATCGCATAATTGAAACGCGGCAAAATGGATCCGACCTATTTCGCAACGGCGGAAAGAGATACGGGGGCGGCGAAGTTTCCGGTAAAGTCGCCGCTCCCAGCGGCTTCGCGATATTATGAATGTTAACGGGCAAGTTTGAGCTTAATTTTTACGAGCGGGACGTATCCGTCCCTCCAATCCCGCCTTGGAAACTTTGCGGCTGAATTATCGCACGCTACATTGAGAAAAAAAAATCTGTATAAGCTTGTGAGATGCATTTAGTAATGTATTGTATGAAATATTTGATTATTATTACCAATTGTAATAATAATAACAAAACGTTTGGTAATAATTAAAAACATTTTAAAAGGGCAAATTTTGCGTTTAGTTGAGCCTACTAAATTAGCCTATTAACTATATTATTTCGTAATGATTGCGTTACGTTTAGTTGAAACTATTTTACCAAAGCTCTCGGTAACTTTGACCAAGGCTGGATTATTATAACCAATCCCTTTTCCCAGTGTAAGGGATGCGGGTGCTCTTCTCGGCGGGGAGGGGGGCCCACATAAGTAGACTTGAAAGAGTCCTCGAAAAGACGGGATCGCAAATCGAAGTAGGCATTCGACAATCGAACTGGAACGGACACCGGGAAGAGATTCGCAGTCGACGCCCTTTCTCCCCTTCCCCGGCAGAAAATCAGACGCGGATCTCTCACTCCCGAAATGTCACAACCACAACGACGTTCTCGGCGAATCGATATGACGCGTCTTAGAAAGGACTCGCCGCTCTCCTCCGAGAATAACATTCTACGCGTTGACTAGGACATTTCCTTTGGGGGGAAACGGCGTACTGTCATCCCTGACAGTATGACTGATATATGCATGTCAACCGGAGTCGCGCGATACATTTGCTCCCCGTGCGCGGCATCTGTCTCTAAATTAGTCCCTGTAATAATTATGAGACATTGTTCGGAAGAGAAGAAGTCGTGCGACGACGCGATATACATGCACACATACAATATAGACACACGCATACAAATCTCACGCTCCTCGCCGTTTTGTGATGACGGTCGGTATAATCGTCGTAACGACAAACACGCGCGAGATTTATGACGAGTCGTTGCAACCCGCCCTTCTTGCAATTAGTCCCGTCCTTCCGCGATGGTAAATTAGACTCTCTCTCGTCCTAATCTAGAAAGCGCATCTGTCTTCTTCTTTCTCTCTCTCTCTCTCTCTCTCTCTCTCTCTCTCGATACAGAATTGTCGATCGTCGCGAGCCAGTTTCGCGTCGTGATAACACGGGAATCCATTTCGAAAGGTGACTTCGACCATCGATCTCCGTATACTTTCCCGTCGACGCTGTGGACGGTACTTGGCGTCAAACCGTCGACGTTTTCCCGCGGAGACTTATCGCTACGTCGATGTTCGCAGTCGTTTAGTTTCGCGGGAAGGGAAAAAGGACGTCGACCGGAAGTTTTGGAATTCGGTCGAACGGGCCAAATATCGTCGACGTAGACGAGTTGGAGAGCGACTTATTCTTCGCGAAAGTAGCTGGCGAGAGAAAAACGTTCGTCGACTCGTTTTGCCGGTGCGAGACGGTGACGGATTGACGAATTCATCGTAACGATGGAAAATGCAGCGACTGGGGTACCGCTTTTGTAAAACAATGGTCGTCGTCGTCGCGTTTCGGCATTCGAGTACTTGCGGTGTTTGTCTTGGCGCATTTGTACATATGTACGCATTTACACCGCTGGCATCAAACGGTTTGAAACTTACCGCCGTATTAGCGGTGACGCTTTAATGTAACCCGACGTATTCCGCTTCCGAACTTCGACGCTTAGTTGCGACGCAATATTTCCGACCAACTCGACAAAGTTGATAGGGGCGCATGGTACATCGCATTGTTGTTGAGTCGTATACAGCGAGAAACACGGTGTCTCGCTCGGCGTCTCGTCGTATGTCGATTATGTTATGTAATAACCGCATAACTCTTTATATAAAGTGAACCTAAAACTTTATCTCAATGATACGTATTAAGAGACCATATTACTAGGATATCAAAAGATGGTATAATTTTCGCTATATATGAACGCTATAAAATCTTGGAGGAGAAAATTTAGAAATACAACGACAACGTCATATCACGAGAAATGACCTTAAAATGACGTTATAATGACGACACCTTGCTACCTGGGACATTATCATAAAAATAATAATTCTGGTTATTATTTATTTTATTATATGTATATATACGTATATACGATATGTATGTGTCTCATGTATTTGAAACAAAAATTGAAACAGATTTAAAATCCCGATTTTATGTATAAATATAACCGTTAAAAGTAAATGATATACACATATATATATATATATATAAATTGTTTATAAAGAATAAACAATTATTAAGATGATTTTATGTACAATGGAATTAACAGAATATAAATTTTCACAATTAAATGGCATATTAATACGTTATAGAAGCAAAAATGATCGTTAAAAAATTATTGTGAAACAGATTTGTCATTGAAACATGGAATGGGTTGATGATGTGCCTTATATGTCGTCGTGGATTTTTGCCGACGTGCCGATGCGACTGAATTTCGGTGTGTATTTAAGGGGTAAATGTGCGCCCTACCGAAAGCAGGAAGCTCGTAAAAGAAGCGTGTGAACCGAGCTGCAGTACGGAACTTCCTCCGAGTGACGTTGATGACTTACCCTCCCGCGGTCAGCTCGTTAATCAAGCAGCTG